CTCTCTCTCTCTCTCTCTCTCTCTCTCTCTCTCTCTCTCTCTCTCTCTCTCTCTCTCTCTCTCATTGTTATTATTTATAATTATCTCTCTACGTACCAGATAAATTGTTATTAATTAATCACTGCTGTTGTGTATCTCTGATAAGAAACTTAACTTAAAGTAGTTATATCATAAGTTCCGTGAAAATTTAATTTAAACTTACGCTATATACATAGTTGAAATATTATTTAACTGTTCGTTTATTATTAAAAAAATTATTAAAAAATTGATCATTAGAAAGCCGAAATATTTACAATTAAAGTTAGGACTTTTTATATATGTTTCTTCATTTTTAATATCTTCTAAGCTGCATTTAGTGTGAGACTTTGATGAAAAACTACTATAATATTAAAAAGTAATATATAAATATTATATATAAATTTTAGAATTATTGATTATTTTCGTGTCAAGATATAAAAGTAGAGAGTTCATAATTTTATAGTAATATTCGAAATATATATACATATATTTAAATACCATTTTTTTAATTATCTATATTAGATTATCTTTGTATTATCTATATCTCTATTAGATAAACTTATATATAAATAAAGCACTCAGCAGACGAATAAAATAATAGTTTTTACGTATTTGTAATATTGTACATATATCTTCATTTTAATTTCGCTTCAAATCGAAACTTAGATTAATGAAACTTAGATAGTGAAATAAATGCATAAAAACGTAATTTTGTGGTTGATAAATGAGTAATCCATTTGATGCATTGCTAAAAATATAACAACTAACGATACAACTAACTTACAAAAATTTACTTAATCAAATAGATATTAATGTAATGAATCTGTGTGTAAACATAAGTTACATATATATAGAGGAATGATTAATGTGGAAAATACCAGTTGCCGTATTTCCACTGAAATCACGTCAAGTTCGTAAATCAATTTTTTTCAATCCAACACAGTCAGTCCACAAGATGGTATGTAGTGTCATTGGAAATATCGACGCATTAGTTCAAGTTATAAACATTCAAATGTTTCTTCTAAAAAAGCTGTTATTGGTACTTAATACATCTGCGAACTAATGCATCGGTAACTTTTTGTTTGACATACAAGTATCCACAATATTATATAAATTTAATAGATAACTTAAAACCTATGTGACTATTTGGTAGAGAATTTTTTTATCCAGTTTTAATGTATAAACGCACTGCGACAAGCGTCGCCATCAGAGCTCATCTCCGTATCGCGCGTGATTGTTCACCAATCTTCTTTGATTAATAACTTAAAATTTTATGTGGTTAT